TAATAATTAATAAATTTTAGCAGTTGACAATTTTAGTAAAGAATATAAGATTTTTGAGTGATTTTATAATTTCATAAAAAATTTATTTAAATTCCTTGTATGAAATTTTAAAATCATTTTTCCTGCATAATATCAAAAACAAGTTTTGGCCCAAAAGCTTAAAAAAAAAAAAAGTTATGCACATTAAACTTTTCTATATGACATCGATATAGGACCCCCCCCCCAAAAAAAAAGTCTTAAAGTTACTCTTGATCTTGACTAAAAAAAAATTGAAATATTCACCTTATTAAAGAATTTTGGATTCAAATTATAGTATATACTAACACATTAAATAAAAATATTAAAGGTATTCTTGAAATACTCATAAAACCATCATTATTAATGACAGTCCCATACATAACTTGATGTTTAGTCTATTTTAGGGAAGAAATTAGGTTAGGCAACACATTATCTAGTATAATTTAAAAAGAATTCAAGATGAATTGGACTAAACTTGATCTATAAAATTGGAAGACTAGTTTAGGTAATCTAGGATTTGAATTTGTTTTTTATTTGTATTTTATTTTTTGGGAAGCAACAATTCAATTGGTACAAAAATACCTATAATCATAAAACTTATCACAAAATATTAAAACCTAATCACAATAAAATGATAACAATCTCCAACAACATTCAACAACAATAGAAAAGCATTAATGTTGCAGACCATAATCATAGTTCCATAACAACCTTCACAAGGATAAAACACAACAAAATTACCAATAAGAATAAATTGATGCAACAAAAAAAAAACAGATAATTAAATAAACCACAAAAGAAAAGCAAAAAACTACCGTATTATGCAGAAAATAAAAGATGGCAATGATCATAGGCGGTGCTACATTGAAGTCGAGTTGGGCAAATGTATCCCTTGGGCTCAGAGAAAATTATTAAAAAGGTCTATGTATTCTAATATTTTGGATCTTTTAACCTAAATATTTTGCATCTCTTAGCCAAATTTTAAAAGTTTTAAGTTCAATTTTTTAATTATATTTAAATAATTAATTTTAAAAATGTTGTAACCATAAACTAAGGTCCTGACGCTGTCACCGGCAATGATCACATTAAGAAATCAAAAGTGCACAGGGTGCATGTTATACGAAAACTACAGTATTATCATGAGAGGAGAATGGGAAGTTTTGGAAGGATAATAATGGGAGGGAGAACCAGCGAGTCATTTGTATGTTTCAGCATGAGAGGAATGGTAGAAACTAGAAAGAAAGGTTATTAAATTATCATGGTTACAATAAAGATATGAAGTGAAGAAAGACATAAAGTCAACTTTGTGAATATAGATTTGAGGAATTCTTCTTCAGAAAAGCAAGAGGCCAATATTGCAAGCAACATATTAGAAGAGAAATGGAGGAACTGGTGAATTGAATGATAATACAACTCTGGAAAGGAAAATCTTAAAAAATGGCTCTTTAAAAAAATAAAGGGATTAGACTTGACCAAACGATTCAATTATTCAGTTTCTAATTCAATTCGACTCGAATAGAAAATCTAATTTGGTTGGCTTTTTTTGAATTTGGCCAATTTTTTTCAAACTAGACCAGATATAGTTTCATTGGGTTGGATTGAATTATCAGGCTCTTGCACAGCCCTAGGTGGGGGTAATACTCCAAGTTTCTCATAATATTCAAGGATTGAATAAAAAAAAAAGGTTCTGCGTGAGAATATTCTTTTGATCAATTCATCTACATTCAATACTCCTCTCAAATATGAGTACGCGGTTAGGATTTAGTGTTCTGTGCTCATGCTTGAGATTAAAAGTTTAAAATTATAATTTTTCAAATGTTGTCTTTATTTAAAAAATAAATAATTGGGACATGTAGATTAAAAATGTTCTATTTTTAATTTTTAAAAAGATAATTTTACTTTTTTATTTATGAAAATAGTGGTAACTAGAACATTATTTTTAATTTTTATTTTGCATCTATTACAAAAAATATTAAAGATATAATAATGAGAAAAATTAAATTAAACTGTCTAATTTGAATTTGAATGGTTCATTAACGATGAGTACTTCAAGTCCAAGGAATCCATTTTCGACAGTAGCAAAATATTAACAAATATTCAGTTAATTATAGCATATACACGCATACACAGAATATAGGTTGGTTAGATTATCATGATGAGAAACTGAAACCTTATTTTTTTTTTTGTTGTATTTTTTCTAATTGTGTCTAATTAACATTATTTTATGAAAATATGCAAATAAATGCTCAAAAGTCGTGCATCTAGTTAATCCACTATAGGCCCAACAATTTGTTTTTTGGGGTTTTAATGCATGCTTTTAAAGAGCTTAATATGAAGAGTATCTTTCACCATTAACAAAGACTTGGGTTCATTTGGGGAACGGATCTGGGGTTACACGTGTGAGTGCCAAATTTTAAATCATAAAAAATATAGGATGCTAGAATTATTTTTCTCTTTTTTTACAAGAAAGATTAGTGCTGGACTGCTGGTTATAACAAGTATGGGCCGGGGACTTGACCCGCCCCATACTTGTTCTGGACATCCGAATGTTGCAAATAATTAATCAGGATTATGAAAATTAATTTTAGTATTTTTTTTAAAATAAGTTAACCAAAATATCCATGTTTGGTGATTAAGCTTGCAAGTCTGAGAGTACAATTTTTTTTAAACTCGAATAAAGTAATTTCACAATCCCTTAACTAAATTTTCAACTTAATTGAAATGATTTCAACACTAAGAAATTTGTTAGCCAATTGCAAGTGTGGGAGTAAAAATATTTTCAACACAAATAAAGTGATTTCATCATCTCTCTCAACTAAATTTTCAACCCATTTGAAATAATTTCAGCATTAATAAATTTTAAATTGGCATTTCAGACATAAACATTTTAGTCATGGTATTACTTTTAAAACTATAAAAAATGACCATGATCCTAAAATTTAATCTCATAATTTTATGGTCCTAATTTTGGTTATTTGTGATATTTAAATGTTATTATTTATGATTTTCCATTTCTTAGAATTGAGATTTTCCCCACTTATTATTATTATTTTTTGAGTGCACAACCCACACGACACTCTTGTACATTAGTCAAGATATTCCATTTTAGTTTTTTAGGTGCTTCCTCTACAAGGCATTGTTATGTATTTGCCTTTATCTAGCTGACTCACCCTCAACGCTGAGGAAAAACATTGTGTGTGTTTTTTTTAATCTAGTCAAGATCAAATGAATAATTATTTTGAAAATATATATTTTATTTTAAAAAATAAAAGCTCATGTTAAATAAGAATTTCTCGAATATAATAATATTATTTGAAAAAATATTAAATATGTGTAAATACCTGCTTGAGTTCGGCGTGATGAGTGATAGGGATTTGTTTCCTTTAAGCAAAATGGCTAGATGTTTAGATCTTGACTCTTTTTATATATGAAACAAATATAATTGAGACTTACAAGAACTAGATTTAACAGAAGAGACTAATCTGTTATAATATAATAAATTAATATTTAAATTTTTATTTAAAGAATATCTCACATTTAATGTTCAATCGTATCTTAAACATAATTGTCTTCGAAAAAAATACAAGAAAAAAAAATTAATTGATAGAGGTGTACTTGTAAGTTTTTTATATGTTTAAGGAGATTAGTCTTTTTTTTTGTTTTTAGTAAGATTAGTCTCTTTTTAACATTTTCTGTGATTAAAAGATTGAAAAATAAATTTCTTTTCATTATTTTTTCTAACAAAAAATTAAAGGTTAAAATCATGCAGACCAATAATTACAACAAACTCAACCTCTCAATTACTTTTATCACTTTTTTTTGACAATAAATTTACTGCGACGCATGGCTTTTTTTCTTTTAAGTTATTAAAAAAAGCTAAGACAGGTTTAAAAAAAAATAAAAATCACAGAACACTTCCCCCCCCCAAACAGATTCTTTTCAGTTTTATTTATAAATTATTTTTATCAACCTCATTAATACTAATATAAAATAAAAAAAATAAGTAAAGTTTCAAACATAACCCTCAATTAGTTAAAAGTAAAAAATAAATAAATTATATAATATTATTTTTTATGTCTCCTCTCTCTCACTTTTTAAGGGTAATTTAAAAATTTTAATTTAAAATAAAATAATTTTATCGGTTAGTGATTATAAAATATATCAAAATGTATTTTTAGATGATGCTTGATACATAGGAGGGTATACACACACCACTAAGTACTAATGATTGGTTACAATACATAGGAGGGTTTAACGAATTTAATTTTTTTTAAAATGAACAAGAGAAATTATAATTTTTTTAAAAAATAAGATATAAGAGAAAAGAGTAAGAAAAATTAATTTAAAAATTTCAATCCTACTCCTTATTTATTAAAAAAATTGAACTTATTAAATTTCTTGTCTAAAATGGCCCCTCTGGTGGTAAAAAAAGGGAGTCTTGGCCCAAAGTCTTTGATGGACCCACACGCTTCTTTTGTCATTTCAAAACCCCAAATTTAACCCAAAGTCTTGGCTTTGCTCTGCTTACACTCCCCATCTTCACAGATCCAAATTTAATGTTAAATTTTTTTATAATATTCAAATATACTTTTTTGGCCAAAAAAATTTAATATTAACTTTTTTGATAATTTTTAATATTAAATTTAAATCATTTATATTGAACCTAAATTGTCCATACTATTGATCCTATTTATTAAATTTTTTATAAAGAAAAAAATAATTTAAAAATCTTAATCCCACTTCTTATTATTATTTTTTAAAAAAAGTTGAACTTATTAAATTTCTTGTCAAAAATGGCCTCCATTATGAAGTCTCTGCCCAAAGTCTTTGATGGACCCACACGCTTCCACCCTCCCTCCATTTTCAGACCCCACATGCTTTTCCTTTTCTCTGTTATCATTAAACTCTTGACCCCAAGTCTTCGAGGCAACCTCGTAGAAGTGCAATACAGAGTCGTATAAATAAATCCTCAAACGTCTTTATTTGCCATGCTTGTGCTTCAAAATTTCCTTCATTTGTTTCTCCGTTCTAGGGTTCATTCTACAGACGACGTCATGGCAGATAGCTTACTAAGTTTTGTGCTGGAGAACTTGTCTCGGCTTGTGCAACACGAAGCCCATTTGCTATGTGGCGTGGAGGACAAAGTGAATTCCCTTCAGAGCGAGCTCAGAATGATGAGTGTCTTCCTCAAGAGCTGCGAGCAGGACAAGATGAAGAAGGAAATCGAACAAGAGGTTGTGCGTCAGATCACAGATGTCGCACATGAAGCTGAGGACGTCATCGACACCTTTGTTGCCAACGTTGCCAGATACCGAAGGAGAAGTTGGTTGTCCAGGATGTTCCATGGCGTTGACCATGCAAAGCTGCTACACCATGTTGCAGAGAAAATAGACAATATTAAAGCCACCATCAATCAGATTTATGAGAACAGAATCAAATACGACACCCAGGAAGCAGCAAGATCTTCAACAGAGGAATTACAACTATTGCATAAGCGTAGGAGGGACGTGGAGGAAGAAGATGTGGTGGGGTTTCACCATGACTCAACTGAAGTAATCAATCGCCTCAAGCAAGGAGCTTCACGTCTTGATGTGGTGTCCATTTTAGGTATGGGCGGATTAGGTAAAACTACTCTTGCTCGTAAGATCTATAACAGTCATGATGTCAAGAATTACTTCGATTGTCGTGCTTGGGTTTATGTGTCTAACGACTATAGACCTAGAGAGCTTTTGCACGCCCTTCTTAAATGCTTGACGTCAATCTCTGCAAATACATGTTATGAAAACAGCAATAGCAAGCATAAGAAGAGATCAAAGGGCAAAGGCAAACTTAAATTCGAGGATGATTATGGTTTGAGTGAGGAGGAACTGAAAGACAAGGTGCGAGGGTGTTTAAAAGGGAAGAGGTATCTTGTAGTCTTGGATGACATATGGAAACCTCAACATTGGGATGACCTACAATGTGCTTTTCCAGATTACAATAAGAGCAGTAGGATCTTGATTACCAGTCGTTTGAAAGAGGTGGCTTCTCATGCCAGCTCATCTCCTCCCTACTATCTCCCTTTTCTTAATGAAGAAGAAAGTTGGGAGCTTTTCTCAAAGAAGGTGTTCCGAGGAGAGGACATGCCTTCAAATCTAGAGCCGCTAGGTAAGCATATGGTAAAAAGTTGTGGTGGCTTGCCAATCTCCATTGTGGTGCTAGCAGGAATTCTGGCAAACAAGGATAAGACATTCCGAGAATGGTCTAAGATCATGGGCCATGTCAACTCGTATCTCACCCAACCAGAGACCCAAGTCCAGGATATAGTACTTAAACTCAGTTATGATAGCTTGCCTCGAAGACTGAAGCCATGCTTTCTATATTTTGGCATGTTTCCTGAAGATTACGAGATTCCTGTTAGACGCTTGATCCAGCTATGGGTTGCAGAAGGATTCATTCTTCATAATGGTTCCAGAATTGCAGAGGATGTTGCAGAGGACTACTTGGATGAGCTCATTGATCGTAGCTTAATCCAAGTAGGGAGAAGGAGAAGCGATGGGGGAATCAAGACATGTCGTATCCATGATCTTCTAAGAGAACTTTGCATATCTGAGAGCAAGGAGGAAAAGGTTTTTGAAGTTTGTAGGGATGTGGACATTCTGGAGCAAACCAAACCTCGCAGGCTATCCATTCAATATAGCGTGTCTGATTATCTTGTTTCAAGCAACAAAGATCATTCTGGTACTCGTTCTGTGCTCTGCTTTTATCGAGACTCCTACTACCACCTTGATTCAAACAAGTCAAAAAGGCTTGTGAAATGTTTTCAGCTTGTTCGAGTGTTGGATTTGGGGCTTCCTATTTACCACTGTAATAAGATCCCTCCCCATTTGGACAAGTTCGTGCATCTAAGGTACTTAAGAATAGACATAGAGACAAGCTTTGGTCGAATTTTTGTCAGGGAGATTCCTAAATTCCTATGCAATCTTTGGAATCTAGAAACATTGGACTTGGGGCGTTCACATTATAATATATCCATACCCTTCACCAGTGGAATGTGGAAGCTCAAGAGACTGAGGCATCTTCATACGGCTGGACCTGTGGTCTTGCCTGATTTTCCAGATGTAGAAAGTAATATCATGTGGAATCTACAAACCCTATCCTGTGTCGCCATAAACAAAAAATCAGCTGTTGTGTCTCTGATAGGGAAAGGTGTATTCCCAAAGCTAAGGAGATTGGGGTTGCATTTCTATGAGGATAACAAGCATAAACAAGGGCTTGGTCAATTGTGGAAAAACCTTCCAAACCTCAATTATCTGAATGCATTGACGATTTATGGTTGTCCAGAAATTCCAACGTCTGTCAATGCCTTTCCTTTCAACCTTACCAAACTAGCAATCTCGAGCAAGAACACGAACTTAAGTAACGATGTCATCAGGACTTTGGGGAGTCTTTCCAACCTCAGAATTTTGAAACTATCTTCATGTGAGTTTTTGATAGCCTCAAGATCTGAGTTAGAGCTTTGTTGCATTGCTGGGTTTCCCCAACTAGAAGTGTTTCAAATGAGACATTTGGAGCTCTATCGCTGGGAATTAGGTAAAGATGTAATGCCATGCCTCAGATGTTTGATCATCGCAGAGTGTCGGAGGTTGACTGCTCTCCCTAACGAGCTTTGGTCCCTGACTTCCTTACAAGAGGTACAAGTAGTAGGGCCCTCTGAACGGCTAAAGCTGCAACTCCAAAGTCAACCCATGAGAGATGGTTGTAATCTCGTTATCTCTCAACCGTATTGGGAGCGTGTGCTTAATAATGCCATATAATCAATTATGCAAAACCTAAACCATGATGTGTTTAGATTTCAGTTGTATACAATTGATTATGAAAAAAATTAATTAGTATGATTAATTTTGAATATAATTGATTATATTATGTGATATATATAACCTATTTGGATTATTATATTAATCAATTTTGGGGCCTAAATAATTGAGTTTTGAAAAAAATACTCAAACAGCAAAAAAAGTTATAATTAATTATTGAGGTAGAGTCACATTTTAAAATAAGCTCTGAGAGATTGCTTTTAAATTTAATTTTATAGTTAAATAATATATTTTACTTCTTAAATAAAGTTTAACAAATTTAATAATATTAAATATAACTTTATCAATAATTTAATTTTAAAAAGTAACGTCCCTTGCGAAAATTTGTATAGCTCAAATTAATTTTAATATCTAAATAAATTGGGTTATAACATAATTAATTATAATTAAAATTAATCATATTAATTAATTATTTTTATAATCAATTATATCCAATTCTAATCCAAATAGGCACATACTTAATTTATAAAATTAATTTTAATCAAAATTAAAAAGTAGAATTGAGAAGCATAATTGAAAATCAAGTAAAATCATGGTTCTGTGAAAATATATCTAAATATTCTTGCTACATATCAAAATCAATTATGAATTTAAAACCATATTTTTCAAAAAAATTTAAACACCCATCATACATGCCAAAATTAATTATGAATACAAAATTATGATTTTCTTAAAAAATATTCAAACGCTTCCATACATGCCAAAATCAATTATGAGCCCAAAATTATAGTTATCTTATAAGCTACTATTAATTACTTTTCAATTTATATTTCAATTATATTTTTAAAAATTTATCTAAAATTCACATAAATTATTTTACAAATCATATTTTTGAGTTTATAATTGATTTTGACATATATAAATGTGTTTGGCTATTTTAAAGAAAAATATGATTTTAGGTTCAAAATTGATTTTTGCATGTATAATGGGTATTTAGATCTTTTTAGAAAAACGTAAATTTAGGTATATAATTGATTTTAACATGTACAATAGGGATGTTCAAATAAATGTTCATAAAACTATGATTTTAACCTCTAAAATTGATTAAAAACTTTATCCAAACAGGCACCATGGCTTTGAGAAAAGAAACCCAAACGCCCCTTTTGTTTTTAAAAAAAATTTGATTTTATCTCAGAAACTCAATTTTTGTATAAGCTGATAGGATCACTTTTCAATTTTCACGTATAACTCTTGGTGTCATCATTATTTTGTCATAATGGTTAAATTTTCAAACATACCCCTGTGGGGGCGGTGGCATTGCTTGGCTTGTGAACACCACTCAAAAAACTGAAAAGTTCCCTCACAATGACATCACATCTTCTCATCTCTGTTTGAGAGCCTTTATTTAAGAGAAAATTACGTGCAGTTAGAGTGAAGAAATCACGCCTTCCCATCTCATGTTGATATGTTTGGGAGTGAGTGTGTAAATTTTAATATGATTTTCAAATATAATTTTCATAATTGTTGGTAAAAAAAAAAATTTTCATAATTAATCATATATATATATATATATTAAATATTATATAAACATCAACTGGATCAATATTATGCATATTTTATTTGTTAAATAGAATTTAACAACTTTAATAATATTATATGCAATTATATTAATATTAATATCTTAAAGGACAATGTCTTTTATGATAATTTGCACATCTAAAATTAATTTTGATTAAATCATCCAAACATCTTTAATTTTATCAAAATTAATTTCTGAAAAATAATATCCAAACATGATAACATTATAACATAATTAATTATAATCAAAATCAATTATATCAATTTATTTTTTTAACATTCAATTATACTCAATTGAAATCCAAATAGATAGCAAAATAGAAAGAGTGAGAGAATGAGTAAGTCCAAATGACGTGTTGCATTGATAATTACAGATTAACTTAATCAGTTACAGCTGTAAAACTGCTTAAACTCGGTAACAATCTCCAATTGATTTCAAGCTATGCAGAGCCATGCACGTCTTGCATTCTGTATATTTCTGGCATCATTTACCAAAAACGGAAAGAACTGTTTCAATGAGCCCATTTAAAGATTTTGAAGAGTAGTTACGACATTTCAGTTACAATGCTTATGTCATCTTCTACGTCAATGTCTTAAGAGTGTATGAGTTGTTGTATGCAAGTTTTACAAATAAAGTAAAATGGGATGTAGATTACATAAGAGTGTGTGTGTGTGGGGTGTAACTTTTTACCCGAAATCATTAGCCTCACTTGATCAACAACTTTCATGACTCTATCAATGCACTCCTTAAGATTCTCAGTCTCTTTCATTCTGAGAAGTTCAAACTCCTTCCTCAAATTGAAGATCTGTATCTGCTTCGTCTTTTCATTTCCTTGAAATTCTGACTTCAACTTCTCCTCAACGTCCTTTACTGTTTTGCATGCCATGGTACTACTAAAAGCAGTTTCATTTACTATTGAATGAAGACTACTTAATGCTCTAAATTTTCTGCAGACATTTTCTTCGTACATTTTGAGCTGATTCAAGGTTGGATTCTCTAGAAATGCGGTTTCAAAGTCTGACCCAACAGCTTCCCACAGTAGCAGAACCCTAAGTTTTGCTTCCATCTTCACGGACCACACGATAGTTTTCTACCGTGAAAAATGGAGAAGGTGCAGAAATATTGCTGCTTGTAGCCATTACAACGATCACTCACATCTCTCAAGGGTTTATAGTTTTTTAGGTGAGGTTTTCTTCCTTGATTTCTTTCATGCACAATCCCACAAAGATCATTTTTTCCTATGTTTCCGTGTTGGAAAAGGAAGAAGAAGAAAATTCACAGAGAAAGTAGGCAAGTAGCAGCTCTAAGAATGCTCTGCTGTGTTACATATATATGATATATATCAAGATAAACTATTACAACTTGAACAAGTAAGCATAAAAAGATCAACTATTGTCCTAAGATCAAGAACACAGCTTTATGAGTTCAACTTCACCCAAAAAAAAAAAAGAATGGTCCTGGACAGAAAATCTTACACTGACATTGCTTAAAGTACCAAAAATTCAGCTAAACACTAGGGACCTTTGGGTAATCAGAAATTGTCTTCAAACCAAGGCACAAAGACCAAAAACTTCAAAATAAGTTATCTGCAACGGCAACTACATCAGCACAACAACTACTATCACTGGACAACAGACATAAAGGAGGGCTTGGTCAAGTTTGGGAATGCTTTCCAAATTTTCCAATGGGTACCAAAATTTATCAAAGGATGCCAAAATTATCTGACTACCTTGACAATTAGCTTCTTTCCAAATCTTTCAACACCTGCCAACGCCTTTCTTCCCAACCACGCCAACTTAAAATATCAGCTACGGACTTGGATAATAATGTCACGAGCAGTATGGGGAACCTTGCCAACCTAACGTGAGTGTTGGATTTCCAATGGGTCAGAACTTCGTTGCTTTAATTACTGGATTCCCCAAACCAGAGGTGTTTCAAATGCAAAAGGTGAGGCTCAGTGTGATTGGAAATTAGGCAGAGATGTAATGCCATGCGTCAGATTTTTCAGCATGACACTTCTTCCTTGATTTCTCTCCCTCATGAACTCTGGTCCTTGACAACTTTACTGAAGATGTAATGCCATGTCTCGTGTATTATGGCCTTCTGAACCATTGAGGATGCAACTCCAAGATCTAAGCTTTAGAGTTGGATGACAATTCACCATCACCTAAACTCGTGAATGTTTTGGAGATACACTTATCATTATTTACCCAAAAAAGAAAAGAAAACATTTATTTCAACTTTCAAGCCTTCAAGGGCCCAATTTGAAGGTTTTCAAGAATATTTATATCATTTCATTTGCAAAGCTACTGTAATCTGTCACTTCCATGTATGAGTTGTTACTTGTGGCTTTGTGTATTTTATTATATAGCATATGTATATCAAGTTTAATTTTTCTTTAGGGATTTTTAATTTCCAAATACTTAAGAAATGCTGATAACTACATGCTAAATGTCACCCAAAGGGATTTTTTTTTTTTGGCACATTCCTTTGATATTCTTTACCTCTGGTCACTGAAATAATGATTTCTCTGTTCAATTCAACATCCCATTATCCTTCTATTTTTTTCAAAAGGAAAAGAGGAAAATGCAATCAATCATGAAAGAGGAAAGTGAATTTGTATGTCGCAGCATTACATTATGAGACTGAATAATGATCAAAGATGTAATCTTTCACTGACATCAATTAACAAATAATCAGTTAATGATCAACATTTATTAGTTAGATAAAATAGAATTCAATGATGACAACTAACAAGGAAAGTGTTGGATGTTTGTAACCCGGAAAGAAAGAGAAATAGAGGGAAAGAAGAGAGAAGAACACAGGAGAAGAGAGATTTTAGAGAGACGAGAGAGAGAGAGAGAGAGAACAGAGAGAGACAAGATGGATTACTGAATGATATGCTGAAAGATTCTCATTTAGGATAACCATAGATTGATTTACATAGGTAGTCCTATATATAGGCCTTTAATCGTATAATTTCTCATATAATACCCTTACCTACCCTCTAACTGCTATAATCACTAACAGTAACTAATTAACTGATAATAACAGCAACTAATATTTTCAATATTATAATTATAAAACAAAGAATAGAACGTAACTTGGTTAGATTCTTATCATGAGAAACTAACCTTATTCAATGAAAATAAGGAAATGGGTTGGTCACAATTCATTCATAAAGCTGCAATCCACGACAACCCAGTAACTTGGTCAACCCAAAAGTGATACCCATAGCTATCAATCCTCCACACACAACCCTCACACATGACCTCAAAATGGGAGCCTTTCCCAACACAGCTCCCACATATCCAAACATTATCAAAGCCAGTGAAGCCACAGCCACAACCACCATTAGCCTTATCTTATAATCTGATATGAATGCAGCAGCAAGCAGAGGAATCAATGCTCCTACGCTAAATGACAAAGCTGATGCAAATGCTGCTTGAAATGGATTTGGCAGTTTCACATCCTTTATCTTCTCCATCTGCTTCTCTTCATCATCTTCACTCATTTCCCTCTTCATCTGTGCAACTTCAACATCATACTGAGTGTACACTGATACAAACTCTCCTATTGCCATACTGCAAGCTCCTGCCACTGCCCCCGCAAAACCAGAAAGCACCATTGCTTTGGCTTCTGTTTTAACAGCTCCTACACCCATCATCAGTGCAGCAACTGAAAGCAAACCATCATTGGCTCCCAATATTGCAGCACGAAGCCATTGACCCCTTTGAGAGTAGTCGCGCTCACCAGTTTCTTCCTTTGGAGTTTGGGTGGTTTGTTCATGATCATCTTCATAATTTGGTTGGATTGGGCTTGGAGCTACTCCTACATGGTTGAGGGATACCAAACCACAGGGTAAAATGGCGGCCATGGCAGACAAGAAGAGGAAAGATCAAAGAAGCTCAAGAAAGCTGAAGAACTCAGAAGAAAAATCAAAGATTTCTTGGCTTAAGATTGCAGGAAAGGGTGTGGAGATTCAAGGACTTATAATGAGAAGGGATGAAAATTCTGGGGGATGAGTGTTATTGATGAGGTGATTCATTTATTTGTAGGTTCGTTTCTGGAGACTTTTTGGGTTATAGCATCAGCCAAATGATATAGGATTGGGAATATTATTTCGAAGTTCTTCACTTTGTCTTTCTCAAAGGACAAAAACTGAGTTAATTTTAAATAAATGAAGCTAACTATTATTTCAGTACTCATCTTTGACTATAAAATATCCAGAAAATAGTGTCTATTTGTATGCATGAAGGAAAATTGTTCAGAATCAGAATATCTTCCTGAGAATATAAACTTACAATAATTGTGAGTTTAATTCCTTTCGGATTTATGTCAAAACTGGAGTATGTCACGACAGGATCAATAATCTTTTCAAATAATATTTTATGCACAAGCACAATCAACAAGTTAAGATTCTGATCGGGAGAAAGTTTCCTGATGATTTGTTTGCATCTCTCGTCACTGAAGTTCGAAGTAGCTGCAGGTGCTCAAGAGTCACGTAACAAAGCCATATTCCTTTTTGTTCTTAATCAACGCCTGAAGTTAATAGGATCATATTTTTTTAAATCCAAGAATCAAGAACACGTATTAATTGCATATTTTTAAGAAATACTACCTTAATACGATAGGATTTATAATAAAATAAATGATAAGAATCATTTTTCATTTTTGTGAAATCATGATAAAGCTTCGCAAGTTGGTGCTGAGTGATTGTTCGTTTCAACTCTTGGGATTAATAAAAAATAACTATAAATTATAAAAGGGTATCGAATTACGAAAAAATAATTACAAACTATAAAAATAAGTGAAATTAAGAATACATCTGTGTTTAGCATAATTCAATACATCTGTTTTCAGCTAATAGACAAGGAGGAAAAGGCAAAAGAAAGTAAGAATAGAGAAGAGGCATTAATCATTATATATTATTCTTTATCAAACAAATTGTACCATTCTTCCCTCTCTTTGTCTTATTTAATGGGCTTTTGTTGACCAATGGGGTTAGATCTAGTGGAAGGGGCTAGTCTTTCCCAATATGGTGAGCCAAGATTTGAATCTTCATTAAAAGAGGTGCTCGCATTTAATACTTAATCTTGTCTCGAATAAGATTGCCTCCAATTGAAAGATAGCTGTGAGCAATAAAAAAAATAGCTTTTGTTTGCTATTATCTTTCAGAGTATTTTAAGAATAAAATTTTAAACCTAGTATACTGGAATAAACTCGCCTATGTTTTACTTGAACATACCCTCAATCATAGTACTTTTGAGTTAGGATAAATTCTTTACATTAGATCACTAAAATCCAAAGCAGTTCCAGGATTTAGTAATGAGGAGGACTAGGATTGAAAAGCATTTATGGCATAAAATTTGTATAAATTTTGGGGGACAGAAATGCAGACCACCTATATAATACCAAATAAAATTTGAAAATTCAGGGAGCCATGGCTCCCATAGTCTCTCTTGCATCAGTCACCGACTAAAATGATCACTTCTCTCCCCACAACAATATCCCATTATACTTCAACACAAGAGAATGAAACATCATTTTTTTAAGATTCTCATGTTGAGAGCCTGACCTCATACAGCAAAATAAAGCAAATTACTTCATTCAAATTATAGGCTCAATCCACAAGAACTTGGTTAACCCAAAAATGATTGCCATAGCTATATCCACCCTTCAAATACAGCCTTGAGCCTTCACACAAGTTCTCAAAATACAAGCCTTTCCCAACACAGCTCCCACATATCCAAACACTGTCAAAGCCAACGAAGCCACAGCCACAACCAACATTAGCCTTATCTTGTGATCTGTAATGAATGCCGCAGCAAGCGGAGGAATCAGTGCTCCTGTGCAAAATAATAATTAATGCTGATGCAGATGCTGCTTGATATGCATTTTGGCACTATTATTATTCTTCCTTTCATCATTCTCACTCATTTCTCTCCTGATCTGTGAAATCTCAAACTTCATACTGAGCGTACACTCACACTAATTCTCTTATTGCCATGCTGCAAGCTAGGCTATTGATCCAACAAAACCAGAAACCACCATGGATTTGGATTCTATTTTAACAAACAGCCCCTATCAAACTCTTTATATTAAGAATGGTTGAGAATAGTTTACTTAATCAAAATAGCACAAGTCGCTTGATTAGACGCATTCCAAGCTTAATATCTTTTAACCTAATTGTCATTCATAGGTTCGAAAATATAAGGAAATATTTACCCAAACCTAATTGCCATTTCCATTCCATTCCATTAACAATCTTTCTAATAATCAAACAGGCTATGACTGAACGGTGGACACTCTACTTAAGATTAATAATTTTTTCTTCTTATTATTAGATACTATCACTGTTATCCTTCAAAGTAATTCAAGAATAAAAGTTTGACCTCAATACACTGAAAGGAGGGAATGCATCCGTACTAGAATTCTACCCCAACTTCTTGCTTTGGCACTCCTTAGTTGAGTGAAATTTCACGTAAGTACATAGGAAAAGTTTTGACATTTTGTCCCACTAATTTAAAAAGTCTGACTCCCTGTGTGTGAGGGAGAAAAGTGAAACAAATGAAAATGTGTGGAATGATCCAGTAACTATAGGGAAGAATGAAAACACAGAAATTGGGTAGTCATACAGGAGAGAGAAATCTAGGACAACCTCTTTTGTTTCGTCCTTTTCATGGGTCTGAGGGAGAAAACCATTGACACAAGTTTTTGTTTTTATCAACAAAAAGCTGAGCGCAGTATTAAGCCCACGGCAATAAAAAAATGCACATATATTTATCTTCATATATATATATATATATATATATGAAAGATATTCGCTCATATATCTTTGGTCCTTTATTTACGTATTTGATATGTGTCAGTATTCTTTCTTTTATTTGAAAACGAATTTCCTTATATATATATATATATATATATATATATATATTGTATTTGAATATATTGACAATATCCTTCAAATTTATTTAACTTCAACTTTTTCAGATACAATAACTTCACTCAAGCCTATTAAACTCTAGTCTTAAGTCTTAAACCTAATAAACAACAATATTAATTTTATAAAACAATGTCATTGTTTACTTTTCATTTTCAATATCAAACCCATCTTTTTCACAATAATTTTTAAAATTTTTTATTTTTATTTCATATTCAATGATTTTTCAAAACATGACATCACAATCACTATAACATTTTTTGCTTCTAACGCTTCGTACCAATTCTAAAAGTATTGTTTAATGTGTAAATAAGGAACATTTTTCAAACATTGCAATTGATTATTAATTTAAACAACAAATATTTGACACCACTTGAAAAATGTTACCTAACATAGAATAAGCAATACTTTTAAATTGTTGAATTGTATTTTTTAAATAAGTAATAAAATGATTTTTTTTACAACATTTAAAAACTATTTCCTTTTTGATAGGCAACAATTACATAATTGTTACCTTTAAATTTTTTTTTACAACATTTAATAATCATTGCGTATTGTGTTTTTATACATAAAAGCCATTTATTTTTACACTTTTTAATATTTTTTGCTATACTTTTGTTAATTAAAAAATTAATTGATTGATTTATTAAATTATTAATTAGTTAAATTAAAAAATCACTTTAAAAAAATTATCTATATATAAAATAATTTACACCAAATGATATGATAGTAAATTTGAAAAAGTGGTAAAAGTTATTTTTAACTTCCTTGATTCCTTGAGGCTCGAGGTTCAAACACCAGATATAGATAGAAATCTTAATCTTAATTTTTTTTCTATTTTATATACATACAACAGTTCTTAACTACCTATTATTATGATTATATGATAGACAACATTTTAAAATTATTGCAACATATTGATATGTAAACTATTGCTTATTTTTAAAATATAAACAATAGATTTTGAAAAGTATGACTACAGAGTGCAAAACCTATAACCTTTTATAACAAATAACACCGGAATAAGTATAAGTTTAAAAATGTTACTTTTAGTTTTTTACAACAATTTTCACACTTTTAGCTGCAATTTTCAACTATTATAATAAAACAAAAATGTTGCCTTTAATTAATTATAAGGCATGGAATTAATTTTTCAAAATTATTAAATTTTATTTTTATATGATCAATTTTTAAATTAAATTGAGCCCCAAAGCTGAAGTCTTGGCTCTACCATTGACTTAGGGTATTCTTCTTGGCACATGTTTTTGAGATTCTATTTATCTAATCATTGAAATGCATAGTATTAAAATTGCACTAGTATAAAAAAGATTTTCTAAATCGGCTAAAAATGGTTTAGAAAGTCTACTTTCTGTTGTAACTTAGAACCAACTTAGAAAGTACAACTTGCTTAGAAAGTGACATCTAAAAAACACAAACAAACAAAAGACATATAGGACTTTTTTTTTTTGGATTGGAATAAAAAAAAAAGCCCCTATATTTAAACAACAACTTATTTAAATTACCTCCAAATTCTCCAATCCAAAAAAAAGCCCCTATATTCAAACAACAACATATTTAAATTATCTCCAATCCAACTCTTGTATGTTCACAAATCAAGCAATCGATGTTCAATGATAGAAAACAGTGTGAATAGCAGAAAAGAGAATTTTTCCAAATATAGCAACAACAAGCACAATGAACAATTGAAACTAAGCAAGCTAACATTGACAGCATTAACTAGGTCTGATCAATTTTCCCATTAAGAGCTTCGCAAATTAACCACAGAAATAGCCTGAGAATAACAAAAAGTGAGCGCAAATCACCAAGAAGCAACACCAAGCTTGAATTTATTTCCCATTGCATCCCTGGCAAGCCTGATCATTTCCCTAGCCTGTACGTTGTTTTGTCAACTAAGTAGTCTGGCACTCACGTACGTGTGCAGGTGGAGCATTTTTGCTTGCTTGTCATGCTTCAATAAATCAGCACATATACAATGTCATTGTGAAGACTAAATCGCGCTGTTTGACATATAATACTTAGACTATATTCTAAATTATATAGTTGATATTGACATTTACATTGATTTCCTCTGAAGCATTGTCAATTCTCTTAGCTTTCATTGTAACTTGCTAATAAATAAAAATTCAATAAGCAAATGTAAAAGAGCATCAAGAACAATCAATTTCTCAAACTAAATGCTCCGTAGACACAATTTTATCAGCAGTAACTTGCTGATAATGTATGAATGTATCTATAGACTAATCAAACTGACCAAACAGTGGAGAATCAGATTCTAGAAGTGTTGAAATTATTTCAAATACTACACCACCAATGTAAAGAACTGCCGATGGGAGTTCATTAAAGAAAATGCTAATTTTCATATTACCCAATGCAAAGGATAATATTTCTACGCATATATTAGTATATATAACTAATATTGGTTTCTTCCCTTACCCTGCTCACAAGGATCCCGTCTGAGTCATAGTTAAGTAGGGCGTGGGAGCATGATAATAATAAATAATGGCACTACAAGATCACATCAAGATTCAATTTTACATGAAATATATAGCATATTTGTTTCCTGCTATATATAAAAACAAAACAAAAATTAAAGTAGCAACCTTACCTTAAAAGGAAGGACAGAGAAGAGTTCTTGGTGCTCTGTCATTTTGGTGTTTACTTTCAAGCTTTGTACTTGCCATTACATCCACCCAAAAAGAGAAAGAAGGGGGAAAGAAAGAAAAGGATATACATATTTTTATTAATAAAAACAAGCTTATTTTAAAAATAAAATCTCAAATAGGTTACCTCCACAGTAGGAGACTTTATATTCACTCTAGAAGTGAAAACTCATTCGTCAATTCCTTTTCTTGGAGGGAAAACTCATAGTTAAATAAAAGGAACCTGTAGATCAGATAAATGAAATGGGAACCAATAAATAAAAGGAAAGAATGAAGATATTAGACTCCATAACAGAATGGTAGATGTAGAAAAACCAAGGCTTTATCAGAACTAGAAAAACCAAGGCTTTATCAATCAACATGAAAACAACTAAAGAGCTATTTCAACACATAATTAGCTTAAAAACCATGTCACTGCAGAGAGAGAGAGAGGGCGAAGTGTTTTGGATCATATGCTCTCTCAAAAAATAACCCTTGTTTCGGAACTAGAGTACTCTACCCTATTTTCAGCATTGTGTGTCAGCAGGCAAAAGAGACAATGAACTCAAAGTTCAAGCTAGAAGTAACAATTACTTAAAAAGTTGAGAGAAATTAGCACCAGCAAATAACTTCGTGAACTTTGAGAATAAAGAATCGTTCAATATTGCTCTCCCAAAAACAACTGAATCAATATTGCTCTCTCAATATTGAGAGAAATTAGCCCTGGGAAAAACATCTTGAACGTTGAGAATGAAGCAAAAACATCTGTATCAATATTGCTCTCTCAAAAACATGTGTATCCTGCATTACCACATAACCATGATCCATCAACATTTTAATCATCAGAAATTCATAATAAAGACTTGGTGCCTATTTACTACAGGAGAATTTTAAAAATAAATTTACAGTAACCAAGAATAAAGAATCGTCCTTCCTAATAAATTTACGAACATTAAAAAGAATAAAGAATCGTTCTTCCCAATCAAAAAACTGAAGGTCTCTAATTACCGATAGAGAAGGAATAACATCCAAGAGATGAGATCATCGGCTTGGGCCAAATGGGTTTTGCAGAACTTGCATCTGTAAGACCTGCCCTCCAACTCTTGCACAAAGACACTTCCCATTTTTCCTATTCTGCTTTTCCTTATTTTGGAGACTCACTAATCTGAACCCAACCCAAAACAAAGACAAATGGGAGATTTCAGAGTCCACAGGAAAACGAGCAGAGCGACCGACGAAGAATTAGAAACGAATAACTGCATAATGTGAGGGAAATTAGTAGAACAACACGATGGAGGCTGGGGAGTGCAAACTCGCCTCTGCTCTGCAGTATTTAGATAAGATCTAGCGGTGCCAGAATTTTTTTAAATATGAGCTGAATGTGAAAACGAGAACACGAGAAGGAAGAGGAGGAGGAGGTAGTTCCTAGAAAATAGGGCAAACACGATTACTACAAGAAGGAGCGATAAGAGGCAAAAGGGGCGTTCTGTGCCCTAGCACGAAGAAGAAGAGGACGTCGCCGATGGTGGGTAAGGTGCCGGATAAGACGAAGCATGGGCGGAGGAAGGTGGAGGCAACGGGGAAGCGACGATGGAAGGGAGAAGAGAGCAATCGTGGGAAATCTGAAAGGCGCAGGGGTTGCTTCCTATTTTGTCTAATCTTTCTAGACCGGCTGGCTCGGAGGAGATGTAAAATGATACACCTTTTTAAAATAATTGTCAAACTCTCAATTTCACTACGAATTTAATCTTTTTACATTGTTAATTTATAAAATTATATCAATTCATTTATAAATTTAAATTAAATATAAATTTAATTTAATTTATAAATTTATCTTTAAATTTATTATTTTTATATTTTTAATTTATAAAATTGCATCAACTAATTCATAAACTCAGATTGAATGTAAGCTTAGTTAAATTTGTTAAAGTCATTAATTTTTTTTTTAAGTTGAGCAAGTTAAGTATATATTATTAAAAATTCAATTCATAAAAGTTATAAGATTTGGTTCAAAGAAAAAAAAACTTATAACATAAAAACTAATATTAATAAAAAACAAAAATACTAAAAATAAATACTCGTATTTTAAAATTTTTATGCCTTGTATATGATAAGAAATTAATTTCAATTATGTATATTTTTAATATATTTAAATTAAATTACAGTCATATTTTAATGGTTATTTATTGATAGAGGTTAACTCTTATGAGTTTACGATTTAAGTTTGTGATACGAGTTTACATTTACATCATGAGTTTACTTAAACTCATGAGTTTAACAATATTGCTTTCAAGATCAATTGGTATTTTAACCAGCCTGGAAAGTAATTTTAAACCCAATTATTTAAACAATCAGCTTAAAAAGCACAACATTAAATAATTTAATTATAAAATTACCACCACATTTATTTTATAAACGGGCTTCACAAAAACCGATTTAAATTATTGAGTCAACTCAACCAATTGAATTAATAAATCATTGAATTAGGATTTTAATTAATTTAATAAAATGTTTTGTTCATGAAGATCTTTACTATTATTTCATCTATAACTTTTTAAACCAATGTCTTATCTGATTTAAAAGCTTGTCTAGTTTTTAATACATTGCTGAAATAAACTTTTCTCTCTTCACAGCACTATCTCTTTTTAAGTTTAACATTTTCGAACTCAATTAAAAAAAAAAAAAAAGCAACAGCCTCTACTTTTTATTTTTTGTTCCAGAACCAAAAATATTTATAAAATAACAAGTAGAGAACAAAACATAGTTTGGTTAGATTCTCTTGTTAAGAACCTAACCTTATGCAGCAAAAATAAAGCAAATGAATTGATCCATACAGCTCCAGTCCCCAAGAACACAGTACCTTGGTTAACCCAAAAGTGATGGCCATGGCTATCCATCCCCCAAACACAACCCTCACACAAGACCTCAGTGTGAGTCTTTCCCAATACAGCTCCCAAAAATCCAAACACTATCAAAGCCAAAGTAGCCACAATGATAACCACTATTAGCCTTAACTTATAACCTAATATGAATGCAGCAGCAAGCGGAGGAACCAGAGTTCCAATGCTAAATGACAATGCTGATGCAAATACGGCTTGAAATGGATCTGGCAGCTTCTTCATCTTCTCCATCTGCTTCTCTTTATCATCATCTTCACTCATTTCCCTCTTCATCTGTGCAACTTCAACATCATACTGAATGTACACTGATACAAACTCTCCAATTGCCATGCTGCAAGCTCCTGCCACTGTCCCCGCAAAACCAGCAAGAAGCAGGATTTTCATAACTGTCTTAGCTGCTCCCATTCCCATAATCAGTGCAGCAATTGAAAACAAACCATCATTGCTCCCAATTCTGCAGTGCGAAGCATTTCACCCTTTGAGAGAAGTCCATCTTGTTCTCTTTGTTGAGAATTTTGCTTGTTTGTTCGCATTCCTCTTCTAGTGCTACACTTTGAGCCATGGGAAGAGAGCAAAAGAAAAGGCAAAGAAGAACTAGCTGAGAAAAATGAGACAAGGACTAAGTGTTGTAGAGAAGTGAGTGGAGACTCGAGGCTTTAACACTCAAGGCACAGAGTTATTTCAAGGGAGAATTTCAGTAAAGGACCCATAGAGGGATTTAATTTCAAATCAAAACCAATGTAATCTGAAAATATACTGCAAAATCGGGAGACTGAATGGAAAATATGTTTTAATAGGAGATAATCAAAATACCTTTCATTTTTAAAATATGAAGTGGACTTGTTTAAATCCTAAAAATTTGTCATTTCACATATGTGTACTTATAAATTCACAAGCAGAACTCAGTCTTGTTAACTTGTTACAATATGAAGTGAACTTATCAAAATTCCAAATTAACTAGACTTTGAGACGTGGGAAGCAAGGAAAAGAAAAGGCAAAGAAGAACTAGCCGAGAAGAAAAATGAGACAGGAGATAAATGTTGCCCTTGAGTGGAGATTCGAGGCATTTCAAAGTTGTTTAAGAGAATAGCATGCGCATGCCATATGTTTAGTTGGTTACTGATATATTTAATTTGTTACTGGTGGTCAGTGATGGAGTCTTTCTTGCCAGCTTGTCCCATCAGCCGAAGGAATGAATAATTTTATTTCTGATGGAGGCTTGACAGCAGGTTCTTCATTTTAATAATAACAAGCAAATGAGTTGTCTTATTACATCTTAAAATTCTATGTTCGTTTGGTATGGTTTCATATCATTCCTAGTTGCGTAATTGTTTTGGCTTTTATGTTCTTGCTACGGGCGGGAATTTTTATAGAATAATGGATTTATCAATTATGACATGATTGAGATAAATTTCTTGGTTTCTGCTGTTTTGTTCCTTTCTTTGAAATGTCAATGCCCTTCGGAATATTTTGGTATACATGGATACACACACACACACACCTTGGAAGCGAGGATGAACCTATAACAACAACTCTGAGATAAATTGACTTCTTATTTTGTCATTTGTCCTTAAAAAAGGGTTAATGATATGTGGAAGCAAATTATTGGTTGCTCTACTTACTCATCTATATAAAAGCATAAAAACTCAACCAAATCACAATTTTTTTTTAAGATAAAAATCTTGTGACTCACTTCTCACACTCTGTACAATACATGAGACTCATACTAATTATTTTCAATATAGAATTTTAAATTTAATCTAAACTACTGATTTTTAAAATTTTAATCATCATTTTTTAAGAATTTATTTGTTCCTCTACAAAGAACTGTAATTACGTTGAATTATAAAGCTCTAATTTAAATAGTTCAGGTTTTATTTTCTTTTTTATTTCTTGAATATCTATCTTTTTCTTTGGAAACATTCAACGTTACACCCTTCAAAATACAAATATATTTTTAATACAAAAACAAAAATTAACTCTCTGAGTCAAATTTAAATAACTTTAATCAAGAGCAGCTCTCATCTTGGTCAGAAGAGGCTTAGGACTCAGGAGAACAGAGGATCAGTGTTCATTTCCTTCACCTGCAAATCAAAATAAATTGCATGTCTCTTCTTTTTTAGTTTTTTTTTTTTAACTGCTCATATGCTTTCAAAAGAGGTTTCGTTTATAGGTATTTCCCTATCTTCACATTCAAATTGTATCATTCTTCACTTTGCCTTTTCTCAGGACAAAAACTAGAACTTTATATAATAAGCACTTTAAAAGAAATAGAGCCATGCCAATATTGACATTTGGCCATAAAACTTCCTGAAACAAAATAATGGTTAAAGGAACTTAAATTCATAATCTAAGCTCAAATACCTAAATCAAAATAACTACTATATAGAACATGTAAAAATGAGAAGTTATTTTCAGATAAAAAGATAGGGGAAAAAACATAAAATTAAGATAAAAAGATGGGGGAAAATAAAATCAAAGAAAAAAAGTTCCCACACTTCCTTTGCCATTTTTTTCCCCTCTCTTTCTTTTTACAATAGGCACAAATCCATTTTCAGGATTTGACTATTTGAGCCTGCAACCTCCCTCTTTAGGTTGGCTATTTACTATTATCATATCAGACTTTATTTTCTCACGATTATAGGAGATTTTAGGTGATATGATTAGATTTATTCTCCCCTATTTCTTCTATCTATGCATGCATTTCTCATCAATAAAATTCAGAATTTTGCCGCCCCAAAATATTTCAGGAAGCCATTTTAACTGAAGAGCACAAACTATATTCTGTTTTGTTATCATGTCCCAACAGAGACTTGAGTGTATCCGAACAGAAATGCATTCACCAAAAAAAAAAAAACAAAAGAAAAGAAAAGAAAAGAAACTAAGAATCACGTCATAAAGCTAGAATGAACACATAAAAAATATGAATACTCATGAATTTCTTTGGTGCATGCGTGTAACTTTTGTTTTCTAAAATTTTGATAGTCTTATTTCTATCTTCCAAAATATGTGCTCAATCTTCACTTTAAGCGGCCTAAGAAAAAGATAACAAGATAATCACTTGTTCTAACCAGTAACTAGCAAAGCTGTAATTGGATGGTGAAAAGCATTAGCTCTATGTTAGGTCATATATATCGTGGACTATCAATGGAGAACATATGAGAAACACTAATCAAAGTGGGAAAGTGATGGGCCTCCAAATAGATGGGGCCGAGCGTATCAGAGGAAGCCCAACAGAAACAAAACAACCCTGGAATGCGACACAGAAGGGCAGAAAGGGAATGGGTCTGTAATCTCTACATTTTCCCTACAGTAACAGAGGTTACACAGCGATAATTTTCACTAGCATTGTGTCAAGTTTACTGGTTCCTATCAGAAAGTGAACAGGTAAACAATGGCCTAGAGTCACATTTTCAAAGAGATGTATGGCTCGGTCACTTCCAATGAAGTAACAAAAGCCATTCATCCTCCAGGACTGACAAGAAGACATTGCAATTGAGATACCAACCAAAATGAAGTCATCTGATCTCTTGACAGCACCAGACATCTTAGAAACGACTTTACCAAATAAAAGGTATAGGCTTATGTTAGGACCCGGTGGGCAACTTCAAAGGCATAGGCTTGAGTCTTCTAATGTGAGTTTATATGTATTTTGAGGCAACTTAAAAGGATATTAGCAGGGCTGTTCATAGATTTGATGCAGTTCAATTTCAGACTAAAATCAAGACAAACCAATACTCAATTGTGTAAACTAGAACACATATTCTGTTTTGAGCTTTACATGATTTGGTTTGTTTCACTTTGGTTCAGTTCATACTTCTTATTTCTCTTTCAAGTGATTTAATTTTTCTCAGATTTTTTTTTCCAGATATGTATTTTCTCTTTTCAAAACAGTTTAGTTGGACTTTTATGTTATTGTAAGGTAAAGAACATCAACCACAAGAATATGCTATTGTGCAATTTGGTTTGATTTCAATCGGTTCCAATCAGTTTGGTTCAATTTTGAATACCCTAAAGTCTAAGAGCCTTCCACTACGTCCTAGATGCAATAAGATGGGAAAAGTGGTATTGCATCAGAGCCAAAAAGTCAAGACAGACCTAACCTGGGCTTATTATGTGAAGATTACAATTTACAATGCATGGTGGAATGAATGTTGAGACTCAATCGCAAGACACCATACTTGGGTTTGTATAGATTTTGGAAGTTTAAACTAGCTGGCTACTTCTTGTGGTGTAATCAATTGTAAGATACAAGACTAGGGTCCTACGTTCATGATGTGGGATTTATTTGAACATTCACCTCTCCGACAAAAAATCATCTCATATCAGCACAAACTATGTGGGAAAACAAAAGAATCAAATAATTAAAATAAGATTTCTATAAAAGAAAAGCTCAATATCAAACAATAAGTTTTATTTTTGTTTACACAACCAGCTAGGATTCTGAGGAATTCAGCATTTATTATGCCAGCATATCGAGTGAATTCACTTGCATACTGTCAGATCTTATCTTCAGTACAATTAAAACTGATTAACCGATTCATTATAGAAATATTTAACTCATGATACAATGCTAGCACAATTCAAGCAATTATTGAACGTAAGTGGAATTCCAGAACTGTAACTATACAGAATGACTCACAGGTGAGCATGTTGTACAAAAGAATGTAAAAGATTACCCCAAAAAAAATTAAAGGGAAAAAGCGGATCCAACTTTTCACAAAGACCAGAATTACATCTAAAAGACCAAGCATCTCTCACGCGGAAGGTTATCTGCTTTACCTAGTACTATTTCAGTAATTTGTCAAGTTTCATGAAACCCAACCTGGAATGGACTTGGATCTGCAAGCAATCAAGGCTAATTATCCAAGTTTAAGAAAAACAGGGCCATTAGTAAGTCTTTTGCTCCGGTAGAGAGGAATTTTGTACCCATTTTGATGTTTGATACGTTATATGGAATTCTAGCCAGCTACACAAAGGAAGGAGGCAAACATTAAAAAGATGAATCTACATTTGCCATTAAATATTAGTAAAATAGAAGAGTACATGATAATAATCAGAATAATTAAAATTATTTATATACAACAAAGTCATAAAAGCAACATAAAACATTTCCTAAGATTTCCATCTAATCTAATCATGAAGTGCCAGAGTTGTATCACATGGTATCTGCGATTTTTTTCTTTTGAAATTTTAACATAACAGGTTATACATATTGAACAAAATAACAACACAAAATAAAAATATGAAGCATGAACTTGCATGTTAAAATTGATTATCTTGCAGGATAGCCTGCAACAGTGCAGCCAGTCAGTGCTAACCAGATGGCCAAACCTGATACTGGCAAAAAAGGTCCACATGTAAACAGTTAACAAATTTGTCATCCTAACTGACATAATTCATCATATCAAACAGGATATTTCACAGGCCCGATTACATTCTTTCAACATTAGCTTCCTTACAAGGTGCCCATTGTAACCAATCTCAGGCATGTCCAGAGAGAGGCTGAGGAAACTTTTAAGTGAAAAATTGTACAAAAACATGGACAACAGTCAGCAGTAGTGAGAAATATCAAATATGAGGACGAAAGTGACAACACGTCTACACCACATTTTCCATGTTTTGGAATAGAACATTCAAGGTTGGGCATGACGACAGAAAATAAATGAACAGCAAAAGAACGAATGTGAATGTAACATGTTATAATATCATCAAGGATCAAGAATAACAATAAAACAATATAAATGAAAAAAAGTGATAAATTCAAAATAAATACATAACATAAGTAAGAAAAGATAAACTTTATATACCTATGCTCTTTCAAGATGGCTCTTGGAATATCCACTATGACAAACATATGCTTGCAAAGGAGCATGAAATGACTGAAATTACCATCAGATAACGTTCTCAATTCCCAGGAACAATTCAATGGAACATCAGGAGTTGAGCTCTGTCTCTCAAGATTAGTCTCATGCTTATTGTAAAGGATTGTAGGTTTACAATCTGATATTGGTTTTAACCTCCAAACCCTCCTTTTATATTTCAACAAATTGCGGTCAGGCTGTCCCTTGCATCTTTCTTCCCATGCAACGCAGTGCCTGTCTGCTTGCAATCAAGAGTCAATCTACTATCTCCACTGAAGTTTACCTGCCTATCGGAACTTCCCTCGCCTTCCTTCATCAACTCTTCCCCAATCTCTTCTTTAGCATCACAATCAGCTACACACTTGCCTTCTTTTGACCTTGTTCTAATGTCACTCCCATCCATACAAACTGAAGGTTCCAATACATGTTTAGAGGACTCCTTGTACATGTTATCATCACTGGAAATTTCATGCTTCAAAAAATCACTTGAATTGCTTGGGTTCGACCTCATGCAAGATGAATCAATACTAGAAGTCCCCATCTTAGGAGTATCTAAGTAACTTGAATTAAATAAACTGCAACTAGTCGGAGAGCTACTCATAGGCGGATACAATTCAACAACCTTACCAGCACTCATTTTGAGGCGCTCATTTAAACTGCTCTCATCTCCGCTAGCTACTAAACTTAAAGCACTGTTTGCAACCTCTACCGCTCTTCTAGCATCCACAGCCTTCTTGACGGCCTCCTCTCTAGCCCTGGCAGCAGCTTCAACCTTCTTCCCTACCACAATATTTGCATCCTTAACCACATCCTCCAATGACACCGCTGAATTTCCATCATCCGAAACCCTAGAAGTCTCCTTTTCTAATACAACCCCACCCTTTTTCCTAACCTTCCCATTCTTCATTCTTTTTCTTGAAAAAGCCACTGATTTGGGAATCCAACAATCCACACAAACAGAAAATTCCGACCCGGAACAAGCATAAGACCATGGAGCAGTGCCTTTGTACTTGGAAAAACACTTTTTATGAACAGAATGCTGACATTGTTCACAACGAAAACAATCCGCAGACGATTCGGAAAAACAATACAAGCACATTTTTGAAGATTTAACGGATGAAAGACAATTTTTGCAGAGAAGAACTATGCGCCACTCGCTACTAAGGACATGGAGTCTCTTCTTACCAGTGCAAACGTCAACTATGAACCCACACGCATGGCATTTGTTCAATTGGGCAAATCCCTAGTTTTCTTCAGCGATTGTGATGGGTTTTCAGGTTCTTGTTCTTCAGGGTCCCCGGCTTCCGAGCCATGAAACTTGAGATTGCTGGAGACATTTATAGGACTTCGAGGATGGGACTCCATCCGTTTCTCCGGTTGAAGCAGCTTCATCGCCGGGGAAGTTCCGATGATACCGATCATAAGGGAGAGACGAATGGTCAGGGCTGTGCACAGGGCTATCAAGAAGGATTGAAATTGAAATTCTGGTGTTGTTTAGGGCTTTATTTCCTTTTAGTACACAATTCGGAAGCCGTTGATGTTCATTCAACGGTCACGCCCTCGAACGCGAGTGGGGATGTCTATCGAGTTTGATTCAAAAATCAAGGAATTTTTTTTTTAAGTAAATGATCAAATATTATAAAAATAAAAAAAAATTACAAATAAAAACACTCAATATATTTTCTCCATTTCAAATTATAAAATATTTTTAAATAATTTTATATATCAATAAATTTTTATTAAATATACTTAATAATTTATCTTTTTAAAATAAAAATATAAATTTTTAAAATATTTATAATTTAATATATTAAAAAAAAAGATAAAAATTAATTACAAAGAAAAAAATAATATTAAAATTAATGTATTTAATAAAATTTTAATTTACTCAAAGTGTTTCATATTTTAAAATAAAAAAATTTTTTAAAAAATAACTTATAATTTAAAATGAAAAAAATACTACACTTATCTTGATAGTCAAGAAATCAACATAAGTTTTCACAAAATCAAAAAGAAGAATAAAATAATAAAATCAGGAATAAAGGTTATAATTGATATTGATAGTAAACAGTAAATGAAGTACTTTTTTATTTTTTTTTATTTTATTTTGTAATGAACTGCCCCCTCCCACCCCAAATACATGACAGTTTAGTTACTACAGAAAAGTCGTTAAGAGTGGTTTTATATAGTTAAAGTAATAAAAAATGTCAATACTTTTAAGATTTTCCACAAATTAAAATTAATAAATATTAATTACCTTTAATTTTTTCTTATATAATATCTTTTCTAAATACAATTAATAAAGGTATATTCAAAAGATTTTTTTCTATTGACCTTTTTTACCAACACTAACTAATAGAAAATACCTTCGGCCAAAAAAATAATAAAAAATACCTTATATTTTAAATTGAGGGTGCCACTTTAGCAAGGAAATAGATTTTTAATTATTTTTTAATTATTAACTATTATTAAATTAATTATTAATATTAGTTTATTGATTATTAATTTGTCAACATATGTTAATATATACAATCTATAAAAAGTGAAAAATGCCTCTATTCTATGCAATCAATGAAGCCACGCATAGTTTATAAGAGAAGTGGATGGATACAACTAAAGTTCACCAAATTTTTAGGTCGAGCAAGAGGGGTTTGATATCTTTTAGGTAAAGTGCTAAACCTGAATATCAAAACAAAAAAGTGCTAGTCCTGAGTTTGGTGAATGGGGGAAAGAGAATTTAACATAGCTATTTCTTTTATTTAAAACCTTATTAATATTGAATACATTATTATTGACATAAAAAGTGTGAAAAGCTATTGGTGTTGACATGAAAAGCTACTATTACATAAGTATAAATAATTACAGAGATGATCCTATTAGAGTTATTGGTGGAGTAGTGGAACTGATTAATGTTGTCTGGTCTATGAATTGTGCTCCTTTGGAATGCCACCTCATTGCATCAATTTGGTATGGGGAACCAAAGGTAGTGTATCAAATTTAAATTACTCCCTCCAATCTAAATTGAGACATTTTTTTCCCAACTAAACTTAGTCTAAAGTTAAGTACTTTTTCGAAAATATTTTTCCAAATTTACTCTTGTATTAATTAATGTGGGCATGTAAAATATAATTTATCACTTTTCTTAATAAGAGTGTTGAAGGCAAAAAAGAAAAGGCATGTTATTTTTTATGGAAGTAAGGAATCTTATTTATAGGCTGAAAGGGTATTTTTTTTTCTTATTATAAGACACCTCAATAATTATTATATTTATTTTACCCTTTTATTCTTATTAAATGTCAAAGTATAAAGTTTTTATATATTTACTACAGTAAAGTTAAAACCTTATTAAATACTTAGACAGAGTTACTATAGATTTAAAATTTTCTTTTAATTCTAATAAAAAT